GTTTTGTGCGTTTTAACATGAATATTTCACGATTTGTTTTTCAGTAACATCACGTACACAGCATCGACTTGCTAGCTCTGTGTGTTTCCTTGTATGCACTTGATTGAAAACGTCAAAGTGTTTGCTTGCAAGGACCACCCGCATGGTCCACAACAAAAGATGAACTTTATTACAACATAGTAGCTGTCCACGTCTTGACAACTAAATGAGGATAACTTTCTTGCAGTGTTCCAACGTGAATGGCAGATAAGAAGAACTAGAGTTAATTAGTTTCTCAACAAAAGAATGTAACCTAGACGGCCTCCGTCAGGCTGACTGGCATAGTTTCGTTTTTGGGATCCCCGAGATAACTTTCTTCGCGGAGTCGTCTTCGTAGATTTGATTAAATCGAAGTTAGATCTATAAGTCTATACAGTCTAATGATGAACTTTTTTATTGTAATATTTCAAAACCTCACTCTTATATCCGCAGGAAACGATCTTTAAGATCAACTTGTGGTTTTTGTCCGATGGCACAAATTAATCCTAGTTTTAAGCAACTGTTTTACTGCATCTACACGCTTCCTATTTTCTTCTTGTCATTTGTAACGACTAAGATGCCTGTAAAGATTGATTAAGTGATGTGCCTTTCACCAAATCACCAAATCACCAAAGCACCCGTTTTCTCTGACCTCATTTTCTCTAAGATTGGTTGACTTCTAAGGCCTATCATATCACGGGTTTGGTTCGTTATCTTCCTGGGTCGATGGCCTCAATCAGCTATTTGTCTTACTTGACTAATCTGATTCTTCACGATGTTCAATTCATGCATATGTATTGTCTAAAACGACTTGTCTGAACAGTGTAATGGACCCTATTTTAGTCCACGATAACAGAAAATATTTCGCATGCCATTCCAGGAACAGCCTGTAAAGAGGAAAGACATTACGAATGTGATAAAAATTCAACATATGGTGACCACGATGAAAGATGAAATATGGAGTCTAAGATAATAAAAACGAATAAATTCGTCGAATACGTCGAACCGCTTTTAAATATTGTTGTTTTTAACGTTTCGGACGAGACTTTTTTTTTTTATCAAATAACTATACACGGGTTTATGTCGTCTGTGCGGTTTCACATCGTCACACCTCCAAATTTGTTAGGCGACTCGGCACTCAGCCCGAAGCCTGTAATTGAACCGTGTCTACGCGAGGTTTAAAACTAATAGAACTATAGTTACATATCAATAGTTTTGTATTATCTATGATGTATACCTCTAAAGGAACAGCAAAGCCGGCACTAAGCCTAAAGCCTGTAAGGGAACCGCTTAACGGAGTCTGATTGCTACGCGAGGTTTAAAACTAATAGAAGTATAGTTTCATATCAATAGTTTTGCATTATCTATCATGTACGACCCTGAAGGAACAGCAAAGCCGGCATTTAGCCTGAAGCCTGTAACTGAATCGCGCATCGGAGAGTCTTTGCTACGCGAGGTTTAAAACTAATAGAAGAAAAGTTTCAAATCATTAGTTTTGTATTATCTATCATGTATGACTCTGAAGGATCCATGGGGTCCAGCAAACATCGAAGATGGCCCCCACGAAGGAATTTGCAACGTGCTTCAATAAGTGCCTAGACTACATAAAAGAATCAATTTAACGTGCAAATTGCAAACAACTCTCCTCAATCAGGCCAAATTTTATTTTCGCACATTCAACCACTCACTAATCCATTAATCTCAGAACTCGGGGATTTTACGAATCACTAATGTAATGTCAAGGGATCTTTTCGAAAACCATAAAACACACTGATTTGTTTTGATTTTAACCTTAAAAGACGTTTCGATGACAATATCTGCTTCTTGTCATGATGAGGCGCCAAATTGTTTTCCTTGTGTGCCCGGGTCAAAATGTTAGTCCTGCCCACCATTTAAACTAGAAAAGGCAAAGACAAGGGGCGTAACTTGATGAAGACAAAGTGAGAGTAATTGCTCATAATAATTGCGAGTTTAGCCGTTGATTTTTTTTCTGAAAGTTTCTCATGACCCAAAAGAAGCATTTCAAACACTATTACAACCCCGTTTTGTAGAAAAAAGGCTTTCAGACGTGAAAAACGATTCCGTGATGTTGCCAATCGTTGGTAGAATCACCGTCATTTCAATACTGACCACTTGTCAGAAACGATAGCAGATGACGCCAAAGAGCTGTCCTCATGACCTTTGGAGATGAAGCTGAGATTTAGATTAACAACGGAGAACAAGGTAACGAAAACAATGAAACATTTGAGTAAACTTCATGTCTCTCGACGTACCTCGAAATCAACAAACAGGCAGAGAGTACTAGTACATCTTTGCCACTTTTAACTTAAAGATTTCTTCCGAGTGCCTCTTTGGGATGTGTGATAAAATCAGTGAAGAGAAACCATGTGACAGAAGGGAAGGTTATACATGAACTGTTCAAGGTCAAAGAAACGTCTTTGTCACTTTTGATCGTAATCCCCAAACAGGTATTCAAAACATTTATGTTTCACTGTAGCAAGCATGGATGTTTGTTGAGGTCACTGTAGCTGTTTCCTGTGTTTTCAACTGTGGAAGATATGGTGATGCCTACCGTCATTTTTAAACATTCTGTCAGAGAATGACAAAGGTGCCAGAGGCAAGCTTTAATTATAAGATCTGTCACTATTGGGAACAATCACGGCACCTATGGCCCTTAAAAACCCAAACCTGAAGAACGTACATGACTCCTTTATTGTCAAAAAAGCGTGCGAGAGTCCTTGAAACGCAAGACCACCCCTACAGTTCATTAAATAGTAATCACAGAAATGGTGGGAGGTTGAGATACAAAAAATTCTCACAACTACTCAGTAGTGGTCGGTGTTTTCAACCTTTTGGCGGTACTCCCATTCAAACTCGTGCCAAACATTTTGAGATTAACCCTGACCAAAACAAATTTGTCGAGAACAGGACTTAACCGATTTAACATATCTCCTTGAAATATCGTCTCCGAATCAAAACAAGTTGAGATTCCGTGCACTGAAGTAGCTGTCAACAACCAAGGAATTAGAGAAGTCGAAATCTGTTAAAACCTTTTAAGTTTCGATTTTGTTTTTGGATTTTAAGACGACGTGAAAGGGAAGAGATTGCTATTCGACTTTGTTGTGACAGCAGTATTTTAAAGTTTCACCCGTCGAGATAAAACAAAGGAACCTATTTTAATTTTGGCAAGAAAAACATCCATCAATCAATCTAATTTCTGAAGCTTTTTATAGGAAGACACAGTTGTCAAGCTTGTCGATTCTAGTTATTAGCAATTCAAAATCATTGATCCTTTAATTCACGAAAGAAAACCCCATCCTAGCTCACTGAGGCAACAAGGCTAACACACTAAACACCTACACTGTTATTTGAAAAAGGCTTACTATTTTTGAACAATTCAGAAGAACACAGAGAGAAATTGATTTCTAAACGGTTAATTGCTCAAGAGCTAATCCAGTTAACTGTATTTAATAAACAATTCGCGAGCTCCGCCATTGAACAATACCTTTCCCGCCTCCCTTTACCGAGTTAATTCAATGTTTTGAGAGGCGTGAGGGAAAATGGCATTAGGGGACGGGAAGTGGTCAGGGATCGTTCAATTACACCACAAAAGCTAAACGAACGCACGATTGGCAGCTCTCTAAATGGGATTAAGGCTTTAATTGGGATACGCTGTTAACGAGCAGCAAGTCACCGAAAAGAAAAGGCCAAGTTAAAGTGAATCGTTTTAAGCCCTATAAAGTCTTTTGCTTTGTCTAAAAGATTTCAATGGCTATCATTTTAATTAACGTACATGTCAAAGAGGTGACATCTTTTTATCACCCTAAATAAATTCTCCTCAAACAGTGAATAATAACATGTGTTCTATGTCAATTCAGGCGAGTCATACATGACGTGTCTCAAGCTTGCTCATTAACCAACCCACACATTCCTACCTACCCTTTGATCTGTATACAGTCAATAGGCCAGCAGCCATCTTGAGCACCGTCCGTCGGGACTCGCGTTATGTCTTCTTTTTCCGTGAAGAACATCCTTAGTCTCCCGGAATCGTGCCTCCAAAGCTGCTCCAGCGCTACTCCAAGGGTTCCTAATATTTGCCAAGGTGTTAATCTCTCTCCCGATCGATCTACAGGATCTAATTGCATAATAACTACGATGCCACCATCGGGCCAAAGCCAAGACAACACTTCGGGTAGGTACAGGGCTGTAACTTGAAATACTCTTCCCAACTCCCACAGATTCCTCTAAGATTTATCCATTTTCTNTCACCAAATCACCAAATCACCAAAGCACCCGTTTTCTCTGACCTCATTTTCTCTAAGATTGGTTGACTTCTAAGGCCTATCATATCACGGGTTTGGTTCGTTATCTTCCTGGGTCGATGGCCTCAATCAGCTATTTGTCTTACTTGACTAATCTGATTCTTCACGATGTTCAATTCATGCATATGTATTGTCTAAAACGACTTGTCTGAACAGTGTAATGGACCCTATTTTAGTCCACGATAACAGAAAATATTTCGCATGCCATTCCAGGAACAGCCTGTAAAGAGGAAAGACATTACGAATGTGATAAAAATTCAACATATGGTGACCACGATGAAAGATGAAATATGGAGTCTAAGATAATAAAAACGAATAAATTCGTCGAATACGTCGAACCGCTTTTAAATATTGTTGTTTTTAACGTTTCGGACGAGACTTTTTTTTTTTATCAAATAACTATACACGGGTTTATGTCGTCTGTGCGGTTTCACATCGTCACACCTCCAAATTTGTTAGGCGACTCGGCACTCAGCCCGAAGCCTGTAATTGAACCGTGTCTACGCGAGGTTTAAAACTAATAGAACTATAGTTACATATCAATAGTTTTGTATTATCTATCATGTATACCTCTAAAGGAACAGCAAAGCCGGCACTAAGCCTAAAGCCTGTAAGGGAACCGCTTAGCGGAGTCTGATTGCTACGCGAGGTTTAAAACTAATAGAAGTATAGTTTCATATCAATAGTTTTGCATTATCTATCATGTACGACCCTGAAGGAACAGCAAAGCCGGCATTTAGCCTGAAGCCTGTAACTGAATCGCGCATCGGAGAGTCTTTGCTACGCGAGGTTTAAAACTAATAGAAGAAAAGTTTCAAATCATTAGTTTTGTATTATCTATCATGTATGACTCTGAAGGATCCATGGGGTCCAGCAAACATCGAAGATGGCCCCCACGAAGGAATTTGCAACGTGCTTCAATAAGTGCCTAGACTACATAAAAGAATCAATTTAACGTGCAAATTGCAAACAGCTCTCCTCAATCAGGCCAAATTTTATTTTCGCACATTCAACCACTCACTAATCCATTAATCTCAGAACTCGGGGATTTTACGAATCACTAATGCAATGTCAAGGGATCTTTTCGAAAACCATAAAACACACTGATTTGTTTTGATTTTAACCTTAAAAGACGTTTCGATGACAATATCTGCTTCTTGTCATGATGAGGCGCCAAATTGTTTTTCTTGTGTGCCCGGGTCAAAATGTTAGTCCTGCCCACCATTTAAACTAGAAAAGGCAAAGACAAGGGGCGTAACTTGATGAAGACAAAGTGAGAGTAATTGCTCATAATAATTGCGAGTTTAGCCGTTGATTTTTTTTCTGAAAGTTTCTCATGACCCAAAAGAAGCATTTCAAACACTATTACAACCCCGTTTTGTAGAAAAAAGGCTTTCAGACGTGAAAAACGATTCCGTGATGTTGCCAATCGTTGGTAGAATCACCGTCATTTCAATACTGACCACTTGTCAGAAACGATAGCAGATGACGCCAAAGAGCTGTCCTCATGACCTTTGGAGATGAAGCTGAGATTTAGATTAACAACGGAGAACAAGGTAACGAAAACAATGAAACATTTGAGTAAACTTCATGTCTCTCGACGTACCTCGAAATCAACAAACAGGCAGAGAGTACTAGTACATCTTTGCCACTTTTAACTTAAAGATTTCTTCCGAGTGCCTCTTTGGGATGTGTGATAAAATCAGTGAAGAGAAACCATGTGACAGAAGGGAAGGTTATACATGAACTGTTCAAGGTCAAAGAAACGTCTTTGTCACTTTTGATCGTAATCCCCAAACAGGTATTCAAAACATTTATGTTTCACTGTAGCAAGCATGGATGTTTGTTGAGGTCACTGTAGCTGTTTCCTGTGTTTTCAACTGTGGAAGATATGGTGATGCCTACCGTCATTTTTAAACATTCTGTCAGAGAATGACAAAGGTGCCAGAGGCAAGCTTTAATTATAAGATCTGTCACTATTGGGAACAATCACGGCACCTATGGCCCTTAAAAACCCAAACCTGAAGAACGTACATGACTCCTTTATTGTCAAAAAAGCGTGCGAGAGTCCTTGAAACGCAAGACCACCCCTACAGTTCATTAAATAGTAATCACAGAAATGGTGGGAGGTTGAGATACAAAAAATTCTCACAACTACTCAGTAGTGGTCGGTGTTTTCAACCTTTTGGCGGTACTCCCATTCAAACTCGTGCCAAACATTTTGAGATTAACCCTGACCAAAACAAATTTGTCGAGAACAGGACTTAACCGATTTAACATATCTCCTTGAAATATCGTCTCCGAATCAAAACAAGTTGAGATTCCGTGCACTGAAGTAGCTGTCAACAACCAAGGAATTAGAGAAGTCGAAATCTGTTAAAACCTTTTAAGTTTCGATTTTGTTTTTGGATTTTAAGACGACGTGAAAGGGAAGAGATTGCTATTCGACTTTGTTGTGACAGCAGTATTTTAAAGTTTCACCCGTCGAGATAAAACAAAGGAACCTATTTTAATTTTGGCAAGAAAAACATCCATCAATCAATCTAATTTCTGAAGCTTTTTATAGGAAGACACAGTTGTCAAGCTTGTCGATTCTAGTTATTAGCAATTCAAAATCATTGATCCTTTAATTCACGAAAGAAAACCCCATCCTAGCTCACTGAGGCAACAAGGCTAACACACTAAACACCTACACTGTTATTTGAAAAAGGCTTACTATTTTTGAACAATTCAGAAGAACACAGAGAGAAATTGATTTCTAAACGGTTAATTGCTCAAGAGCTAATCCAGTTAACTGTATTTAATAAACAATTCGCGAGCTCCGCCATTGAACAATACCTTTCCCGCCTCCCTTTACCGAGTTAATTCAATGTTTTGAGAGGCGTGAGGGAAAATGGCATTAGGGGACGGGAAGTGGTCAGGGATCGTTCAATTACACCACAAAAGCTAAACGAACGCACGATTGGCAGCTCTCTAAATGGGATTAAGGCTTTAATTGGGATACGCTGTTAACGAGCAGCAAGTCACCGAAAAGAAAAGGCCAAGTTAAAGTGAATCGTTTTAAGCCCTATAAAGTCTTTTGCTTTGTCTAAAAGATTTCAATGGCTATCATTTTAATTAACGTACATGTCAAAGAGGTGACATCTTTTTATCACCCTAAATAAATTCTCCTCAAACAGTGAATAATAACATGTGTTCTATGTCAATTCAGGCGAGTCATACATGACGTGTCTCAAGCTTGCTCATTAACCAACCCACACATTCCTACCTACCCTTTGATCTGTATACAGTCAATAGGCCAGCAGCCATCTTGAGCACCGTCCGTCGGGACTCGCGTTATGTCTTCTTTTTCCGTGAAGAACATCCTTAGTCTCCCGGAATCGTGCCTCCAAAGCTGCTCCAGCGCTACTCCAAGGGTTCCTAATATTTGCCAAGGTGTTAATCTCTCTCCCGATCGATCTACAGGATCTAATTGCATAATAACTACGATGCCACCATCGGGCCAAAGCCAAGACAACACTTCGGGTAGGTACAGGGCTGTAACTTGAAATACTCTTCCCAACTCCCACAGATTCCTCTAAGATTTATCCATTTTCTAGAGAGTTCACTCAGGCGAACGCTCGTTTGTCTCGCAGGTTGTGTTAAATCTCAAAAGAGTATGTCGTTAGATTTTCGTGACTTAGAACACGGAATGACATTTCGGAAAGCGTAACCTGAACAAAATCGCAGTAAAAGAAACAGGCTTAAGATCAGCGTCACCTTAATTTTATACTTTTGGTAGCCACAAGAGATGAAAACCTGTAGATAGGGATATTCGTTGGGGACATGATTATGCCAAAAATCTAAAGAAAGCTAATGTACAAGCGTGTTGTAGAAGCATTCTTTCCCGCAGTTTGGCCCCGTTTCTTCGCATCAAGCATTTTTGAATAGCTTACCTAAGTTAAGAGTACAAACTTGTAGATCACAAGAGTCCTTGACTACAGCTCCGCCTCGCGGGTAGTTTAAAACCAAATCACCCCTTAATCGGTGTTATCGAGCCTCATCAAACGCCTTTACCCGCTTTTGCTCGATTAGGTGCTCGACCACATCCTGAGTTGAACGAGCAGTGCAGCAGTGCCGATGTGTTACAGCAAGGTCCAAAAATCAACCGAGATGAATCCAGTGAAGCTCCTAAGAAACGAAAACGCCGGGTTCTCTTCACCAAACAGCAAATCTACGAGCTGGAGAGACGATTCAGATATCAACGGTACTTGTCAGCTCCGGAAAGAGAGCAGCTCGGGCGAATGATAAACCTGACGCCAACGCAAGTCAAAATATGGTTCCAGAATCACCGATACAAGCAAAAGAAACAAGCCACCGAAGCTGGAGAGTTCAAAGACTCACATTCGCTCTATCCAAGAACTGTGCCGGTGCCGGTTTTAATCCGCGAAGGTCAGCCATGTTATTCAAGCGATTATAGCAACTCGGTGGGGAATTACTTCTCCAACCAGTACCCACCGACTTATGACTACACAAACTCCTATGGAAACTCGTATTCCTACACGGCTCCCATCTCATCGATGAACTCGTCTTGCATGCAAGCTTATTCATACTGTAAATGGTAAAAGAGTTGCCGTGCTCTTAAAACTGTGGAGGAATCATTTCACAATTCAGTAACTGTTCATGGTCTTGTTTTGACCGTTTATGAGGTGACAACCACGGCCAAGAGAGACTATTGAAACTGTCTGTCAGTTGAGGAGACCCAGCAAATTGCTCTTTCTCCCTGAGGTGCATTTTCTGTAGTTGTAATAAGAGAACGTGTAAAATATCACCAACAACCTAAATTAACTTCGAGAGTAGAAAATTGTAAATTTGTTCCACAGGTTGAACACCACAGTCGTATCACTTCCATCAAGTAATAAATGCTACACTTTCAAATTCAAGTCGGGTAAATCGAAAAAATCTACACTAAGTCGAAGAACAAAAAAAAATCAGATTTACTTTTCTTTTCTGGTAATATCTTGACCTTTTTACATGCAAGGAGTATGAAAGTGACATTTTAATTTTGCCATTGATGTATTCATCGAAGCGTTTTAGAGGTCCCCTTTGAGTTACCCCTAAAAAGCTAGCGTACATTTCGCTCGATCAGGCCGTGATTCTAGCCATTGACAAATATGAAACAGCTAAGTTAAGATAGACAGCCCCAGTCGAATTACAGTTAAACAATGAAAAACTAGTCGAATAGAATACTGTCCCAAATTTTTTGCGATGAAAAGACAACCTGTTCTAATGAATGATGAATATCATAGGGCGTGTTTGCTTCATCGACCTTCATTTCAAACAGACATCTCGCACCACCTTTTGCCTTGTGGTTAGATAGAGAAAGCCGTTCAAAGTATTAATTCGCTTTTTCTTTTGAAAAAAGACAGCACATCCCTTTATCATTTGAAATAGGAAACAAACATTTAAGCCACATTAATATTTCAGGGAAATATAGAATTTCATAACACTGTTGATGAAGTTAATTATGAAGTGATTCGGACGCTTAGAGAGAATTTCTGGTCGAAGTATGATTAATGCAGTGACATTTGACTCTATGTTTGTCTTATTTGCCCCAAAGTTAAAAACTCGTCAGAAAAGTAAAACCCAGTCAGCTAACCAAAATTGCGAAGACATGATACACAATCCCTCGCAGTAAACGGTTTTCTATGGTTGCCTTTCGAAACGCGTAGACAATGCATGACATGGAATTAAAGACAAATTGTAGAAATATTTTGTCCTGTTCCTTTGCTGCCGAAGTTGTAATTTATTTTACGTTAAAAGCTCATAAGAGAAACATAATTTAGCAGGCACTTTTGCCGATAGAATCGCGACGAGACAGGGCAAACAGTTTAGATGTAAGTACCTTCGCGTCTTTGTACTAGGTAAGGTAGCGTTGGCTCTCCTGTTAATATGATCCGATGTACATATATTTGCATCCATGTCAGTAATATTACTTTAGATTGAAATGAGAAGTCCACAATAAAAATTCATCTGTAAGAATGTAAGCAAGTTGTACTGTTGGAAGTGCTGGCGACATAAAAAAAATATTGATGGGAAAGGAACAGCTGACACCGACTTCACTCACTTCAGTGAGGTTTGGTCGTCAAAAATACAAATTTAAGTCTGCAGTGTGCGGTAGAAAACTGTTTTCTGGAAAGCGGGATTTGACGAGTAGAACTTGGCATCGCTAGTGTGTACGTGGAAATCCAAGAAGACGTATAAATACTATTGATTATTAAAACGGAATCAAGGACGCTGAGTTATCGCCTTTTTGCACTCCTGAAAGACGAGGCCAATATTCCTACGGTATCGAGTGAAGCAAGGTGTTTTCTCTTCAACAATCGATTGAAGACTAACAGTTTGGGCACTAAGAAATTCAAGGAAAACTCTCAGAAGACTTGGAGAGACTTTACAAAATGAGTGAATTGCTCTCTAAACTGAACTGGGGCATGAGTTAGTAGGCAGACGTTTCAAGAGAGAAGAAACGCACCTTCCCTTCCAGATCATTCCAAAAATAAGTCTGGGTTACAAGTAATCACTAGAAATATTTACAAACTATCGGATTTGCCTTCATTACGAACTGGGACAGAATTAGCTGGTACCATTTTGAACAGACCTGTGAAACAGACTCAAGAGTGAAGTAAGAAACATTCTCTTCGAGATCATTGCAAAACATGACCGATTGTGTCACAAGACATTACTAAGGAATATTTTAGGACTTCGAGAAATTATTTTTACAACATATGGGATTTGCCTTTAGCACGAGCTGGGACAAAAACTGGTTGGTGAAATTTAGCGCAGAGTTCTCGAGAGTGAAGTAAGATGTCTTCTCTTCGAGATCATTGCAAAACATGACCGATTGTGTCACAAGATATTACTAGGAATATTCTGGGACTTGGAGAAATTATTTTTGACAAAATATGGGATTTGCCTTCATTTCAAACTGGGACATAAACTGGTTGGTGAAATTTAGAGCAGAGTTTTCGAGAGTGGAGTTAGAAGTTTTCTCTTCCAGATCATTCCAAAACATGACCGCTTCTGTCACAAAAAATTACTAGAAATATCCTAGGACTTGGAGAAATTATTCATAACAAAATATGGGATTTACCTTCAGTTCAAACTGGGACATGAATTGGTTGGTGAAACTTAGAGCAGAGTTTACGAGAGTGAAGTTAGAAGTCTTCTCTTCCAGATCATTCTAAAACATGACCACTTGTGTCACAGGAAATTACAAGCAATATTCTAGGACTTGAAGGAATTTTACAAAATATCGGATTTGCCTTCGTCCCTTCAGTCCTGAACTGGTTGGTGAAATTTTAAATAGACTTTTCAAGAAAAACGCAAGGTGTGCTCTCCTTGAGATCATTGAAAAATTAACCGTTCAGGGTTCAAGAGAAATATTCTAGGATGTAGAAAACTATTCTAGGACTAAGGTAAAAAAAGTTTACAAAATGTCAGAACAGCCTTCAGTACTGAACTGGTACATGGATTAGTTTGATGCATTTTGAGAAGACTTTTCAAAGAGTGAAGCAAAGTGTCTTTCCTTTGAGATCATTGCTAAAATAACCTTTTGGGTTTTAAGAAACTTCGACAAAAATCCTTGGACGGTCAACAAATATTCTATAAATTTTACAAAATGTCCTGCTGAATTGCTTTCAATACTGAGCTGGGGTGTGGGTTGGTCATTTGTCGTCCGTCGGGTATGCATGGGAAGGGCCCAATGCTTGCACGAAGACTTTTTCTTCGGAGTTAAACTATAAACAATCCTGCAAAATGAAGTTCAAAGTGGAAACATACTCCTTTGCACACTTGCTGATGACAAACTCTTATGCAAGCAAAATGGTCAGCGAGAACGTTATGGACGGGTGGAACTGAGGAAAAACAAGAATACCAGCTCGACTACGAGGAGACCACGAGGCTGGTTAGTAATAGAGTTTCTATAAAGTAACGCAGCTAGGCGATCTTTTTAGTTCCTAATACACCCAAAGGCACCCTACGACACTAAACGTTTTACTTAAAACCTAACAGAGTTATGAAATCAGTCAAAAATAAATGAAATATCTTAGTTTGTTTTTGCCTTCGAGCAATCAACTCGTGCGCTGTAAACAAATGCATGATTTCCACCTCGTCTGCCGAGAGGTATTTCCGAACCTTTGGTCAAAACACTATGGGAAGGTCAAATCTTTAAATCACGGTCATCTTTATCTACTATTCATACACTAGCAAATATAATCCTAAGCCATTTAAGACTTTAGGAACAAAAACATCAAGAGGAAATTCGATTCAGCGTTTGTTTTAATTTGGTCTTGACGGCGTTATAGACTTGGCGTTAAAATTAAATAATGCCTTGATTACCTTGCTTCTCAGCTTAAAGCGATTATTAAAACTATTTTCACATTTCTTAAAATTAGTAGAAAACGAAAAGAATTTTGCTTTGAGCCGGCGCCGGGTTTAAATCTAATTTGTAAGGGCTAAGCGTGGAGTGACAGCTAAAACTGGTGGTCCTCCCTTCTATAGTCAATTGTCCATTAACATGACATGTTTGGTTTCATTACAGTTCTTTTTGCTCAGTGTTAAACGAAATTTGAACTGCAAGTTTCACCGCGTAAAAACTGTAAAACCTTATGAACTGGATCTTATCGGTTCATCATTTAAAACCACCAAAGAATGAAAACAGTTTAGACTAAATGCTAGTCACGTTGATGGACTGCCAAGTGATTTGGTAGATTATATTAGTGCTCCCTACAGAGACTTTGTCTGCGAAGCGAGAGATTTTCAGTTGCCAGAGAAAATCGTACAAGAAGAAGTCGAAAAAGTCCTCTTCTAAAAGAGAGACTTCTTTAATTAACTTCAAGCTGACTGCTGCAGAGGTCATTCGACCATTTCCCGGTGGTGAAATGGACCTCCACTTTGAATCCGAAATGGACAAAGACAGAGAACTCAGTGACCGGTCAGAGAAGTGACATTCACTTGGAGTTATGTTTAGCTCCGTGACCACAAAAATGCCGAAAGTAACCAGCAATGATCTGGAATATTTCTATTCTTGCTGTTAAAGTAGAGGTCTAATATTACGAAGAATCATGCGGGTTTGCTAGCTGAGCACTGTGTTACGTTTTGACATATTGCCGGGCCAGTCGCACCCGTATCATGATCTTGTTGTGGACAGCTGTAAAAATCCGTACTACAAGAATCATTTTCAAACTCACAGGATTCTTAAATGGTTTCAATTTATCCCTTTCATTTAATTTTTATTGCCTTTCAAGATTATGCCAGCAGTCGTGAGCAAAACGCGCATCTCATGAACTAGTCCAAAGAGTGGAGGGCATAAGTTACCTTACAGCATGTCTACTATGATGTTAAGCCCTGGTGGATGGTTCGCCGTTGCCGTTTCATTATCGTTCTTCTGAAAGACTATATGCAAGCTTTTTTTCGGTTGCTACATCACAGAACCTAACCGTAAAAATCTAGTTATCTATACACAGCTTGACACGATGATCTGCTTAAAATCTTGCTTAAATCTCTGTTCAAACATAGTATTTGTTTTCTCCATGTCAGTAAACGACAGTACTCAAGGGCCAAGGTCTTAATTACATTGTTGTATCTTCCGTAACGTACATTAGCATGTTAGGAATGCAATACTCCACAAAGCACTTAAAATGAATCCAATATATCTCCCAAATAAATCACGAAACGAAAATCGACTTAACCACATCACAAACGGAACGTACGAAACCATAGAAGAGTAGGCACAAGACATGTCATTTAATATTAGTGTATGATTTGCCAACAACAATTCTCTACTGAAGCTACAGGGAGATCTTCCGACACACAAAGCACCTCTCAAAGTGGACACAGACAGGCAGGAAAGGAAGCAATAGGGTTTCGCAATTAAAGAAGCCCCCTATACAGAGCTCTAATCGGATACCTCAGTGAAGGCACCTTCTTATCATCTCTAAAATAAACTTACTCATCACCAGCAGCTTCTCAGTTAGCAGTTCGCTCGTGATCCTTGTTGTAAACTTTATATTCCATTGTTATTGTTATTGCGTGCAGCCAATAAGCGGAAACAAAACTTTCAGACTGCAGGCGCAGACTCAAACGTCTGTTCCAGGTCAGAAATGAGGAGAGCCTGGAAACGAAGAAAGGCGTGTGTTTTTTAACTCACAAATTAAGGATTACAATCTGTGAACTTAAACGGAGGGCGTGCAAGTTAGGTTTGCAACGTACAACAACAACAACAACCATTTATTTGTACTCACAATATATAAAATAATTACAATAAACATTAAATTAGTATAGAGTACTGCCTGCCCAAAATATAGGGGGCTTCTTTAATTGCGAAACCCTTACAAGCTCAAGGTCATTCCACTGAAATAGAACCTGCACTGAGATTTTTGTGAAATTTTGCCTATTGATTGTTTATATTATAGGAACTTAGATTTGGAAATAAAAATGAGGGGTCCCCATGTTCGTTTAGGAGCAACAGCACCTTGTTTATACCCATATAAATCCATATAATAGCACCATGATTGTAGTCACGATTGCTTCAGTTGTTAAATTCACGTTTCCGACGGTTGCTTTTTGTTCTACACTGAGAATTGGTCCATATTTATTTTACACAGAGAAATTTATTACTTAATTCAAANAAACAACAGAAAAAAAAATGATAGGTCACCATACTCGTTTGCGAGAAAATGACGATTTACCTCTATGGCGAGGTCCAGCTGTAAAGAAAAAGCCGCCATATTTTAATTTGCGCGCGCTGATCACGCGTGAAATTATGCGCAGTAGGGATGCGCAATGCAATACTGGGGAATAACCTTAAGTAATGTTATATAGCTGGAGTCTAACGCGCGCTCCCATTGGTTGATTTATGGTCACGTGGCAATGGCTAAATCTAATATAATCTAATACATCATCGCCCGCTCTTCCACTAACCACAGGCTACCTCCTCCGGGAAACATCGAAATTTTTTTTTTTTTTTTAAACTGTTTCCTTCGGTGTG